AAATTAAAAGCCATATATGATACTAATTCTTTTTCATTCTCACTATTTTTTTTGTTGTAGAATAATCCGGTCACGTTGGATCCCAATAGTGAAAAAATTATTACTAATAATAACACAACAAAAATTATGATGCTGGTATTGTGTTTGTTCATTACAATGCACGATGACCATGCCTTAACTAGATTTGTTAATTACCTAAACAAGAAAGCCTATCTAATCCCACTCTTTACGACATTATCTTGGATCTCTTTTGCAGAAAGATACATGCATACAGATATAATAATTTATATCATGTACTTTAAAAATACCTAAACGTAAAAATAAATGATTATGTATATATTGATGTATGTATATAAAGTAGTCTAGAAAATATTATGTATATATTGTATGTCATTTGACGAGTATGTTTTTCCAATCCTTAGTAAGAGAATTTGATTCGAACCTCCAGCAAACAATGTAATTGAAAATGCGTGTAAATATTGTTAAAAAGTGATTTTATACTTGACGTTGATTAACAGCCAATTATAAGCGATTGGGTGCTAATTAGTTAAAGATTGCAAGTCAAATTAAATTTTACAACAAATTAAACAACAAAGCACCTTTGGCAATAAGAAAACAGCTACCTGCCGAGGGCAATAGAGAAGAATGGAAGAGTAAGAAAATCACTTTAGGAAGGCTAGTACAATTTATTTTCACCTTTTGTTTGTTGGAGACTTATCCATACGATATATCCTTTATATATAATATATATTGTGAAAGTCGGTGGAGCAACTTCTTATAATGGTATGAAATCTATGTATTAAGTATGCATGTATACACATATATGCAAATTAGATTGGTTTATAATTTGCCAGATCCCAATGAATACTCATCATTATAGTTTGCATTGGGATCTTAATTATTTGTTGGAAAATATAAGAATATAATTTGTTTGGATGATTATCCTGATTGTCATCTAACAAAGGAATTTTACCAAAGCTACCACTTCACATCTATTTTCTAAGAAAAAATTGAGTTCAC